AGAGAGGTTGCTTCACCTAACAGTGCTCTGGCAGATATCTGAGGCATGGGTAATGCCACCACTATAGGGTGGTGTTGCTTATTTTATCCCCACAGAGTGAGAAAAATATTTGGTAAGCACAGGAGTGTCCCCCCTAAGACAGGCTGCTTTATGCTATGATCTGAGATGCACCGAGTCAGCACATTTTTCAGCTGGCCTGCCACACTCTGTGTGCTGTTTTGGCCTGCCAACTCCATGTTCTTTCCTCAAGCAAATGGCTCTGACTACTTTGCAGAACAACCATCACCCGCTTTTCAGGCAGATTTGCTCAAGCTTCTTGAAGGCTGCAGTAGTAGAGGCAACATGTAGAAGATGTGTATCTTTTCCCCATGAGTTTTAACTGTAGGATGCTGGAGATGCTCAGGTAAGCTGCTGTTTTGCATGTGGTGTTGTGGTACTTAAGCACACACCACGCTGTGGAAGGGCTGTGCTGCAAAGAGGCTTAAAAGGTTGCTGGAGTTAGTCTTTGGCCTCATGTTTTTTGAGGCCTTTTTTTGGTGCTACGGCTCAGGGTGTTGTCTTGTCAAAAAAGTTACCACAAACAAGTTGGAGAAGGCCGATCAGACATTCCCAGCTTCCAGCTATGTGGCTCCTAAAGTTGTGTGCTTGCCCTGCACCCCCATGACACAGTTACCTGCTGGGAAGGGTAGGTTACCATCTATTCAGTCCAAACTACATCAACCTTGTGACAGATTTGAGTTGAAATCAGCACTCCTTGAGGGAGCTGAGCTTTTTCCATAAGGCTAGCTCCCTAAAACACCTGTGGTTCTGATCTATGAGAGCTGTACATCACAGCTTTACTAGATGGATAACTGGTCAAGAAGAAATTGTTATTATCTTGAAAGCCTCTAAAGACTCTAAAAAGCCAGCTTCATAATGGGTAGGTAATCAAGGTAAGCAAGAGAAGAAGTAACTAAGAATGGGAATTATGAAGCTAACACCTTTAATTACTATTTTTTAATTATCCCAAAGACCAGGTGTATACATTAGGAATAATAATAGTTCATGATCCTGTACTGTTGTGACCTTCAGCCTACCATTCCCCCTTCTCCACCCCTTGTTTGTCATTCTCAGTTGTGGTGTATCTAAGTAAAATTCCAAAGTCCTCAGGGTGGAGTCCTGTCAATTATACCCTTCTCTAAGTGCCATTCATGTTTCTATGGCATTACATAAACAGATAACCAGGACTACAATAACATGCATGTCACAAAGCATTTTTAGTATTTGCTTGGTTTTCAAAACTTCAAGGAAGAGTAGAGCAAATCTTGAAAAGAATCGGTAAAGGCACACAAGCAGCTAAGGAGACAAACATAAGCACTGTCATTTACTTCTTGGCACCACCTGCTATAATAACCTAAAACATCTTAATTGTGGTCATCATTTAATTTTACTCTGTGGATCATTTGGTATGTTCGGAATGCTGCTTGCTTTTCATACTGCACAAAGAGCACTCCTCAACAAAACCAACCTTGTCCACATGTTGTATTTTTATTTGACAGATGTATTTGAGATCGTGTTATAATGAAGAAAAGGTTATAATGATCTCAAACTCTGCACACTTTGAGTCATGTGGTGGAACTCTGTGGGAGACAGTAAAGATTTTAGACTGATTTTATCAAAAATACCCACAGCTCAAAGTGCTAAAAAATCTAGATGGAAGCAGGAGCTTCCATTGAAAGGCAGCTCTTAGTAGGGATATTTGTGTCAGCTACATGGTATAACATATTCTGAACTCTTCAAGAATACTTTCTGCTTTCTCAAAGTGCATATCTTATCTTCATTTATACTACTTTCATCTTAATGCAAGCTGTGACAACGTGACTTATGTACTTTACTCACCATTAACACAGCAATTACCCATTTCACTGGCAGTGCCATGACATAAACAAAATTAACCCAGTACTTCTAATGGTGCACTGCTGAAATTAAATACAGAACTTAAACTCTTATGCTACATTACTATTACTGCCTTCATGACAAATCTATTTTAAAACGGATGTTTGCAAATTTCTAGAGCAGCTGGTTGGATTGCTTCAGAGAAAATCAATTTGACAAACAAATTGCAGCTATTTTAGAACTCTTTCTAACTTCAACTTATTTCTAAATCATGCTCTGGGCTATTTTGAATCCTCAGAAAGGGTCTTTGAAACTACAAGTTAAAGTCTTTTAACTTTTTTTTTTTTTTCTTCTGGGCTCCTTGAAACACGAGGCTCTGAAGGCGCAGTTCCCACTTCTGTGCATGAAATTGTCAAGCAGGCTCCGTGCGAGACGTGTACTTGTCTAAAAGCACTGAAAAGCGCTCTGCTCCCAGCAGAAGTCAGTGAGCAGTGGTTTCCCAGGGTGTTTTTTAGCCGGGCTCAGACAGCGCTGCGGTCGCCCGAAACCTCGCCGGCTGCGTCATGAGCCCAACCGCGAGCGGCCAGGCCGGGGAGCGCACACGGCTGTGCCACCGCGGCCGGGGCTCTGTC